TGCCCGGCAACTAGTGATGTATTTCAAATTGGTTGGCTGACAGCCAACAGGTGCTGACCTCCATTGGACCAGGTAAATGAGGTCACAAGGGCTATATAAGTTAAGGACTGCCCGGGGGGGGGGCAGAGAGAGAGAAGAACTGGACCATCTGAAACTTGCTCTCTTTCTCAAAACTCATGATCAAGGAACTGCCTGCTTCCAGAGGGAATCTCCACCTGCCTCTGGATGATGCTTGTGAGTAAGCTACCTGAGATCTAACTACATATATAGCTTGCAGTAACTCAGATGCGTGATCAAAGGCTACCCAGCCATGCCAGTTCACTCTATGGGATTTCTTTGATATTGCTCTACCCTGTACCCTATTCTAACCCTACCCTCTGTAACCAATAAAGTTCTCCTTTGTACCTCATATGGGAGACTTATTGGGAGTGGGTCTAGATTATCCCTTGGGGTCCCCTTGGTTCGGCTAAGGGAGACCACTACTTGTGCTTCCGACTAAGGGAAGCATCCCAAGTTCTTGAAGTGAATCAAGTACCCTCGAGGCCTACCAGGCCTGTGTTTCCTAGGGTGCGCAGAGCCAGAATCAAGCCCATCCGTGGGTGGTGGCAGTGTTACCCCCAGGCTAGTCAGTGTGCTCCAGGAAGGGGGTCGGCCAGACGTGAGGCACCCCCAGGGAGGCACTCGGAGCCTGGAAGGTGGTCGAGCACAGTGAGGTGGGTGGCTCAACACAAGGGCGCTCCCTAATGGCCTGCCATAGACCCCACCCAGCAACACTGCCCACCCCGAGCGCAGCCCAGCCCAGTCTCCCACCGGGAAGAGCCCGGCACTGCCCCAGCCCACAGCAGTAGCCCACCTTCACCCCACACAGATCCGGGGGCACACGCCCCCCATGCACTCTCAGGGTGCGTGTAGTGGCAGAAGCCCCCCCGGATGAGCCGCTTGTGGCTCCATCCTGCACTCTATCCAAGCTGGGCAGTGCCTGCCCCTGCCCCAGCCCCACTCCCTCCTTCACCGTTGAGGCCTTGATCACCCCCTCCCCACCGCAACACCCGTTCCCTCCCCCCCTCCCTTTCCCCCACAACAGACTTACCAGCCAGATGCCACTCTCCATGCTGCCCAGCTGCATATTGGAATTAGATCGGTATTGGCCAATATAGCTCACTAAAGATTGGGCATTGGTATCAGCCCAAAAAATCTCTATTGGTGCACCCCTATGACTTACTAGTCACCTTAATACTATGCCTACTGAGAGCTATTCCAGCAAAGCTATACTGATACATAAACCTTAGTTATAACTAACCAACATAGCTTATAGTAGCACAAAAACTGTGTGTAGAGCAGATCCCAATTCAATTGCAGGTTTGAGGACAGTGCCCTTTTAAAAATGATAGTTCTGACAAAGCAAACATCTTCATGTGCATTTACCATCCACAGAGTTCAGCTCCAGTACTTTAAACCCCACTGTTCCTGGGGTTGTTTGTTCAAGCTTTACCTTTCTCTGAGCCTGAGCAATAGGACAAAGCCAAGGAAATTTTGTTTTTAACTGTATATCCAATGGATGGCCATCAAACTCAGCAAGGCAATGTTTACTCCAGAGTTATTTTCTTTGGATTTTTTTTTTTAAATCAAACACTTTCTAATGATTTGGAGATTTGTAAAAGATGTGTACTGAGCCCAAAGCTGCACAATTTGGTCTCTTCTGCATGGCAAAAAAGAAGGGAAACTGGCCTCTTGAAATACGCTGGTTTCAAAGAGGCTCAAATAGCTATTTCACCTTTTAGAATAGTTCAGTGAAGACAAGCAACACTCCTGGTATGGCTAGCAGTACATGCAAAGGCTTTATCGTGACTTTAAGGTGCTGTACCTCTTCTCTCACAGTGGTAAAGATCATCAGGTCCTGAACACCATCCCCATCAACATCTGGGATTTTTAACAAAGGAGTCATCAGTGTATAATTAGCTCCAAAGTTGTTAGTCTGTCTCCATAGAGCTTCCCCTGCAAAACAATTATTCTTGTTACTGGGAAACATTTGATAAATTGTGCTTAAACACTTAATAGCTCTTCAAAATTATGGAGCAATTTGTCTTAACCAGTACTGTTCTCCCAGAGACTGCAAACAAACCAGTCACCACCTATCTATCATCATTACCTAGCCCTGCGCCCCACAAAGCATTAGATTCCATACGCCGTAGTTAAGCATCATCTTTGCATTTTAATCATCAACCCAAGACCTTGAGCAGTCTAATTTACCCATGAGTTTCATACTGGACCACCCTGAATAGAACGGGCCTAAAGTACAGCTGACAAAAAACTTTCTTTTTCCCAGTCCTAAAGCAATAGGTAGGGTTAGGCTTAACAGAAAGAGTGCACATCTCCAATAACTCATAAAAAGATATAATCTGTCAGCATTTGTTTTGTTTAAAGAACATATATACTGCATTCATTCATATACCGCGTGCACCGTTCCCTCAAAAATCAATGATAGAAAATTGGCATGTGCGTCTTAAATGGGGGAAACTGATTTACATAAGGGCCAAAGTCTCTGGCTGCATGGAGTAGGGCAGGATTTACTGCCTCACTGCTCCCTCTCCCTGCTGCATGCCCAACAACTACTGGTTTAATCCTTTCACAGCTGCTGTGGAGTTAAAATTTTTTAAGTGTTGGTCTATACCAGGGGTCAGCAACCCCTGGCACGCGTGCTGAGCATGGCACACAAGGCCATTTTGCTCGGCACACCACCACCAGCCCGGGCTCTAAGCAGCTCCTGCAGCCACAGATCCCAGGCTGCTCCCAGCAGGAGGCTGGGAGGTTGCAAGCCCTGCTGCAAACAGACTGGGCTTCGTGGGCCAGCTGCAGCTGGGAGGCTGCAAACAGCTGCTCCGGGCTCCAACATGTCGGCACTCCGGCACTTTCCAACATAGACATTGTAGTTTTTTCGGCACTCCGGCCAAAAAACGTTGCCTACCCCTGGTCTACACATAATTAGGCTATGGCCATGAGTGGGTTAACTCTGTAGCTGTTGCAGTAGCAGCATGTTGCATGGGAAGCAGGAGAAAGGCTGATGTGAGGACTTCACTGCCCTCTGCCTGCAGTGGCAAGTTAGACTACCCATCCCCCTAACCTTTTACTTCAAGGAAAAAATCTTTTTTGCTTCATTCTGCCTTCCCCAAACAAGGTGCACTTCTGAAGTGAGGGTGGATGATGTGCAAAGAAGTATGCTGTAGTACCCAGCAAAGGCAGGTAAGTACATTCCCAGTTTTCTGTTCTTCCAAAATGTGCCCATTGGCTCTAGGTAACATTCCAACTTTCAACCAAATGCAGTCAGGCTAGAGGATTTTTTTTAGAATAATCTATACAATCTTAAATAAAAATGCAAAGACAAAATTGTTCCATCACTACAAGATCAATTCAGAAGTGAAAATCCCCCTGCACAGAAGCAAACATCTGCTTATTGTCACAGAGACATCTGTGATCAACAGCAAGGAAACTGTACACTGTCCAAAGTAATTCAGAGAGGGCTGCAGTCCACAAGCTTAAAACATTTTCAAAGTTTTACAACAACATGGAAACACATTTCAATTCTTACTCCCTCAGATTTGGAAGAGGGGAGGTCTTCTGTGGAGCAGCAGGAAGCTGAGGACCTTGGAATCAAAAACTCATAGGTAAAACAGTAGAGGTGCACCAATATATCAGTCCATATCGTATCAGCACTGGCAAAAGGAAAATTGACATTATTGGCAATTGGCTTTTTTGGCAGATGTGACCAATGATGTCACTGATACATGCTGCCTGCATGCACGCAGCCACAGCATGCACGCAGCCAGAAACACAACTGCAGCTTGGAGAGCTGTGTCCAGCTGGTAAGTCTATGGGGAGAAGGGATGGAAGGGGTGTGGGTGTGTGTGTGTTGGGGGTGGGGGGGGAGGTGGGGGACAGATCAAGGCCCGCATGGTTAGGGAGGGAGTGGGGCTGGGGCAGGTGCTGCCCAGCCAGGACAGGACGGGGCAAGGGACGGAGCTGTGGGTGGCTTATCTGGGCAGGTGGGGATGGGAGCAGCTCCCACTGCTGCACACACCCCCAGGGGAGGCATGGGGGCATGTGTCCCCTAGATTTGTGCGTGGGTTGAGGGCAGCCTGCCTGCTATGCACTGCACCAGCTTCTTCTTGGCAGGGAGGCAAGTGGTGGAAGCACTGGGAGGGTGGACTACAGCGAAGCCGTAACCCTCATCCCAGTGTTGCCTGCCCTGCCCGCCCCAAGCGCAGCCCCAGCCCAGTTAGCTGCCCATGGCTCTGTCCCACGTCCTGCCCCAGCCAAGCTGGGCAGTGTCCACCCCTGCCCCACTCCTTCACCATAGGGGCTCCAAACTTCCCCCCCATGCCCCTTTCCTTCCCTTCCACATGAACTCCCCCCCCACCCCCAGACTTACTGGCCAGATGCAGCTCTCAAAGCTGCTAGGCTGCATACTGGCTATCAGATCAGTACTGGCTGATACAGCTGGTTAATAATTGGCCATCGGTATTGACCTAAAAAATCTTTATCAGTACACCCCTAAAAAAATATTGTTGGAAGGGAGCTCAAGAGGCCACCTAGGCTCAACGCTGGGTCTTAAAAACTTCGTAAGATGGAGCTTCCACAACCTCTTTGCGTAACCTGCTCCGGTGCTTTGTTACCCTCCTCATGAAAAAGTTTTTCATAATATCTAATCTAAACTTCCCTTGTTGCAACTTGAGAACATTGCTCCTTGTTCTGTCATCTGCCACCAGTGAAAACGGTCTGCTCCATCCTCTTCGGAACCACCCCTCAGGTAGTTAAAGGCTGGTGTCAAATCCCTCCTCAGTCTTCCCTTCTGCAGACTAAATAAGCCCAGTTCCCTCAGACTCTCCACATAAGTCATGTGTCCCAGCGCCTTAACCATTTTCATTGCCCTCTGCTGGACTCATTTCAATTTGTGCACATCCATTCTGGAGGGGGGGCCCCAAAACTGGACACAGTACTCTAGATGTGGCCTCATCAGTGATGAAGAAAGGAGAAATCACTTCCCTTGACCTGCTGGCAACACTCCTACACATTGAGCATCCAGGCCTCGTTCTCAAACATGGGCTCCTTACCATATTATCCACAGCTCACCTCCAAGTGGTTGGGTTTAGCATTTGAGCATGAGCATCTGTTCTGCATGTGTCTGTGTCAACTTTGAGTGTCCACAACTGGTATTTGGCTGACTCACTAAGGAGCCTAGGTTTGAAAGATTGGGCCCTCTCAGAGTTTCCTCCTCTGTCTAGGTGCTGCCGCCCAACAAAAGTATATTTATAGTAAAGCTCATAAAATAGTCCAGAAACAATGTTCTGGGACTGCAGTTGCTGTAAGTAGAGTAAGCCTACGTTTTAGTCTTTGTAGCCTTTTTCTGAGGCTACCTGGAAGCCTTGCTAAAATCAAGGCACATCACATCCACTGGTCTCCATGCATCCACAAAGTCAGTCATCTCATCATAGAAGGCAGGCAGGTTGCTCAGGCATGGCTTGCCCCTGATGAATCCCTGCCGACTGTTCCTAATCACCTTCTTCTCCAAGGGCTTAGAAATGGATTCCTTGAGGACCTGCTCCATGATTTTTCCAGGGACCAAAATGAAGCCAATCAGTCTGCAGCTCCCTGGATCCTCCTTCCTTTTCTTAAAAGATGAGCACTATATTTGCCCTTTTCCAATCATCCGGGACCTCTCCTGATCGCCACGATTTCCCAAAAATGATGGCCAGTGGCTCTGCAATTACATAGGCCAACTCCCTCAGAATCCATGGATTGCATCGCATCCAGCCCCATGGATTTGTAAATGCCCAGCTTTTCTAAATAGTCCCTAACCTGTTCTTTTATCATGAAGGGCTGCTCACCTTCTCCCCAAACTGTGCTGCCAGGTGCAGTAGTCTGGGAGCTGACCTTGCCTGTGAAGACTGAGGCAAAAAAGGCATTAAGTACTTCAGCTTTTTGCACATCTGTCACTGGGTTGCCTCTCCCATTCAGTAAGGAATCCACACTTTCCCTGATCTTTCTTTTGTTGCTGACATACTTAGAGAAACACTTCATGTCCCTTGCTAGCTGCAACACCAATTGCACTTTGGCCTTCCTGTTTTCATCCTTGCACACCTGAGCAATACTCTTATACTTCTCCCTAGTCATTTGTCCAAGTTTCCAGTTCTTGTAAGCTTCCTTTTTGTGTTTTAGCTCACTGAAGAGTTCCCTGCTAAACCTGGTTGGTCTTCTGCCATACTTGCTAGTCTTCCTGCGCATCAGGATGGTTCATTCTTGATGTCTGTCTGAGCCCGATACTCCAGCCAATTTTCTCTCTACCTTACAGTTCATTCATTCAGTCCATACTCCCTTAGCTTGCCTGGGAGAATGTGGTGGGAAACTGTATCAAAAGCCTTGCTAAAATCAAGGCACATCACATCCACTGGTCTCCATGCATCCACAAAGTCAGTCATCTCATCATAGAAGGCAGGCAGGTTGCTCAGGCATGGCTTGCCCCTGATGAATCCCTGCCGACTGTTCCTAATCACCTTCTTCTCCAAGGGCTTAGAAATGGATTCCTTGAGGACCTGCTCCATGATTTTTCCAGGGACCAAAATGAAGCCAATCAGTCTGCAGCTCCCTGGATCCTCCTTCCTTTTCTTAAAAGATGAGCACTATATTTGCCCTTTTCCAATCATCCGGGACCTCTCCTGATCGCCACGATTTCCCAAAAATGATGGCCAGTGGCTCTGCAATTACATAGGCCAACTCCCTCAGAATCCATGGATTGCATCGCATCCAGCCCCATGGATTTGTAAATGCCCAGCTTTTCTAAATAGTCCCTAACCTGTTCTTTTATCATGAAGGGCTGCTCACCTTCTCCCCAAACTGTGCTGCCAGGTGCAGTAGTCTGGGAGCTGACCTTGCCTGTGAAGACTGAGGCAAAAAAGGCATTAAGTACTTCAGCTTTTTGCACATCTGTCACTGGGTTGCCT